GCTCCTTCCAAGAAAAAAATGATTGAATTGCAAATGTCAAAAAATTCTCTTTGGAAGGCAAACGGCCGCAGAATCTGCGATTTTTTCCGAATTCTGCTGATTTATGGCGAAGCGTGTATGCAATTTAGTGACGCCACAGTCATCTTTCGAAGTTCAAACTCTTAAAAAATTTGCAAAACATCAGCAAATGAGCCGTTTGGCCAGAAATCCTGCTCACTTATAGAGCAAAGTATGGTCCACCCAGTGGCGTAACAAACCAACGATTTTCATCAAGGGAAAGTGCGACCCAATCAATTGAAGTTTCCAGTTCCCGTAAATCTTTTATTCAACCCAGCCAATCGGCCATGGAAAACAAACACTGAGTCAAGAATAGACGAATTGAGAACGCCCTGTTGCCATCCGATGCGAACATCCACCGGGACTCCCCCTGATTTCCGTCAACTTGCTTCCAAAACGCCCAATCGGCAACATCGCCCGATTTCATAAAACCGAAAACAGACAAGGATCGAGTGTTGTATAAAACTCGGGAGTGCCCATCATTCGACACTTTCGTCTCTTAGTGTAAACACTGTTGATGGATCTGAGCACTGCAGTCTATCATTTGGCCGCCTATGATTTGGGAGATTAATCAGGCCCGAGTCGGGTTTTTTCGACGGTCGCAACATCAAACACCAAACGGTGGTGGAAAGCGATTTTTCCGCATCGGTTGCCACGTGGCGCTGTCATTCCAAGCAGGATCGAGCGAGATGGGAAATTGGGACGACACTCTTTGCCCCATCGGTTGTTTAATCGCTCAAGATTTGCCTGGTTTGCAGACAGTTAAAGCCCAACAAACCTGATAATTAGAGTCGAGAATCATGGCGTTCTGGAGCAACAATGCAAGGCAAACATCCTCCCATAAGTGCGGCTTTAAATTATGCACAAGAACCGCTGCTTGTCTGCGTGACAATGCACAAAACCACTCCATTCATAATAGATGGAATAGATTAGGGAGCCAATTAAAAAGTTGTGGCAATCCTGCCAGCGAACGGCCCTCATGGGCCACTTGACGGCTGAAAAAGGGCTTTCGCTGGAAAACACACTCTAATTAACGAGGCAACATGTTTGCGCTAATGTTTGCCATTCTTGTACCGGCCCGGATTTTTACAGGAAACAGCCAGCAGGATTAGCTACAGTGGCGTGCAGCATTTCGCTCAATTCCTCTGCCGATTTAGAGCTGAAGATGCTGCAGGAATTCGCTGGACTAGAGCAGTGACCTGGCCGAAGACGGAAACGCTACACGTAGGAACAAAAGACAAATTGCCGCAATAAGCAGGCGAGCTGAAATGCAGACGGGGCAATTCGTGTTATTAACACTGCAAATATAAAGTCATAATTGTGCGGAGAACTTCTTCGATTTGCCCGGCAGCCTTCGACCGCAAAGTGAAATGCAAAGGCAAAGTGAAAGAGCCTTTTACTTCTTTCGAGTGCGCCGAAGACAATTAAGTCGGTAATTGGCCAAAGAAAGGCATCCAGTGGGAACTTTCCACAAAAAAGCTGCGCTGAAAAGGCACTAGATCGACTGGTGCAACCCCTTTTGATAATTAAGCGCAGCCTGAAATATCTCATTATCTTCAGGCTGTGGCCGCTTGGTCAGGCCGATGCCATCTGCACCATGAAGAATCGAGCAAGCAACGCTTAAGGTTCAGGACAATTTTTTTCGAGAAATTAATTATCAACGAGCTGAGCCAACAAGACTGATTGGGAAAACCGCTGGGGCTTGAAAAATTACCTTTTTTCATTTGCTTCTTCAATCCCCTCAAGCTACACAGCACAGCGCACAGCTTTGGGTCTTTTTGGTAAAAATAAGTGCAGTTGCTTCAAGAAGAAGAACTTGGGCGCTCTTCAGTTTATTCTCCAGTTCCCTCTGCCTTATCATTAGCTTTTTGTTCGTACTTTCATTAAAATAAACCTCGCAACAAAAAAACATTGATTTTGATTTAGGAACATCAGGTCTAGCTGCTTTGAACCATAAAACTTTACGTGCATAATCATGAGGAATGGTTAGAAAGAGTGGCACAAAACATCACTTATTTTGTGATCCATACATGTCACTATTTTCCATTATG